TTTGAACAAATTAGAGATGAATGTAAAGAAGTTAATATTAAAGAGATAGAAATTAATGAAGAAATTTTTGAAGAAAAATCAGATTTAGAAGATACATTTAATGAGGACGAATAAAAATAAGAATAAAACTAGTTTCTAAAAATTATAAAGATTGAGGACATGATTTGCAATAAAAACACATTTCATTAAGAGCAAAATAGACTTTTACATAAAAAAACTCAAATGATTCATTTGACCTGACTAATTTGAAAATTCTTCCTAATAGGGCCTCAACTAAACCACCGCAAAATTAAAAGATTAAAAGGGAAAATAGAAACAGTATCTCAAATTGAAGAAAAGTTACAATTATTGAAAGAGCCAGATAATTGTTCTTCGTTGGTTAGGCAAAAGGCCAAACAGAGAGTTCTGGAGAACTCGGGAGAATGCTCAAAACGTCGGCCGGGTTAAGACCTGATTTATTGAAAGAGCTACAATAATACAATGTCAAAATTGAATGATATGTGACTAATGACATGATAAATGATTGTCACCTCTCATCAAAATTAAAACATGTCACAATCGCGTCTACATAATTCGTACGTCAATATCATATATTAAAATGAAAAATGCTATGTCTACTACAAATTGTACAAAATGGGTTACTACATGTAGCATCTCCCTATTAAAATTACATATACAAAATTTATAGAATCAAAAATAAATCATGTAATGTATAACCTATTTTTGACAAAAATAAATTAAAATTAAAACTTAATTGATTTTAAAGAACATAATTTGTCAGGACCATGTTGATTTTCAAGATAAATTGACAGGAATAGTACTTGAGATATTTTGCCCCTCCTCCGCTTCTTTTAATTTATTTCGTATATTCATTTTCATTCACACTAACAATGAAATATTTTATACATTTTTACTCAAGATTTTTTCTTACTTTTTAATCACACATTTTTCAAATAAAAAAAATGTTATATTTTTCTAATTATAAGGCCGCCACCAAGATTATTTAACACCGGGAAAATAAGGGAAGCCAAGCCCTGAAAATATGAAAAGATTTAACGATTTAAGTTTACCATTTGAAAGAGCGGTTAGAAAATGAGAACAAACGAAGAATAGGATGAGGCTTACATCTACTCATTTCACCTTGAAGAAGAAGAGAACTACAACGGTGATCTCAAGTCTCTCAATCTATATCTATACCTAATAAATCCATCCATTATATATATGTCGTTCATGAGAATATTAGGATAAATTTATAGTAGGTCAATTCGCGGTCGAAAAATGAGAAAATATTTCTGCACTAGCTATGCAATGCAACTGATGGGTGAAACAATTAAAAGGGAAAATAGAAACAGTATCACAAATTGAAGAAAAGCTACATCTGGCTGAAAACTACAATTATTCTTATTCTATTAATCTATTCCTAGTACTTAAGTAAACAATAGCCTGTACATAACCGATTGAACATGACCAAAGAAAAATTGAACCCCATTTTTCACCATCAAAATTGTATCATCATCAGATACGCAGCTAGCCTCCTGCAGGAATCATATCATATCCTGGTTTGTTTTTGATGAAATCTGTATCGATGACTTGATTGATTGGTCGAACCCAGCATCAGAGATGGAGCTCTTGACAGCCTCAGTTTCTTCTTCTGATTTTCTTCATCGAAATTGGATATGAGTTCGTCCTCAACATCTTCTTCAGACTCCTCCCCAGCATCGAAGCTACAACAATCTTGAGACGAGCTACTATTCAATTCATCATCACTTGCATATACTAACAGAATAGACTCAATCTCATTCAAATCTTCAACCTCCTCGAATTCTTCATCCTCATCACCATCGTCGCCCAAGCCTTCTAAAAACGGATGATTCAACAACATTTCTGCTGTCAATCTGAACATTGGTTTCCTGACAAAGCAACCCTTAAGAAAATCCCTTGCCTCCTTTGATATATTATTTGGAAAATTTGGCAATACGCACCCTTCTTTGATCTTCCGAAGAATATCCTCTGCATTTGATTCATTTTCCCCATTCCAAGGAGGTTTCCCGGTTAACATCTCAAGAACAATACACCCAAATGCCCAAATATCAGAGGGAAACTCTTGCACATTATCCACCACAGCCTCGGGAGCCAAATATTCCGGAGTACCCCTCAAATAAGGCTCCAATTTCCTCTTCTTGTTCCCCTGCGCCCTCTTCGCCAACCCAAAATCGCCAATTTTCGCCCTAAACACATAATCCCTGGTTCTTCGGCCACTATGAACAAGTAAAACATTATCGGGTTTTAAATCACAATGAACATAACCAATGCCATGAATATGATTTAACCCTTGAAGTATAGACCTCGCATATACCCTAACTTCGGATTCAGATAATCCATTGCCACCCAATTTCTTGATTCTATCCGATAATGTTCCACCAGAACCATACTCCAAAAGCAAATTATACGCCATCACACCATTCTCCCCGATTGTTGTCTCTTCGCCTATACACCTAATTATACTAGGGCAACCTTTGACATTGCTGTATACCTCCCTCTCCTTCTGAATTGAACCAGAAACAGAAACCTCAGCAGATTTTACAGCCATCACAGAAGGAAAACAGCTGTATTTTGATCTGGGATTCTTCGAAGTAGCCAAATAAACACGCCCAAAACCCCCTTTTCCTATCATTGCACCCCTAAACCATGCAATCCCATCTCCATACTTTGGTGAACTTTTCCAATCCATTGTACCTTCTCCTATATATCCTCTATACCTATTTCCCGAATTTTCTTGAAACTGTATCTAATAGAATTTGCAACCTTTCTGAAAATAAATGAAGAGCCCTATTAGTTTACTGAGTTTATTTTGCTCTTTTGAGGCTAACGATTAAGAAAACTTAGTTTAGGGCTCAAAAAGAGTGGGGTAAAAGAATTAAACAGGCGCGTTTCTTAGGACATACAAGGAAAACAAGTTTCTATTATATAACGGGAATAACGGTCATGTGAAGCATGGGTGATATCTTTTACGAAAAGGATAACCCATTTTGGTAAACATCAGATAATATTTATTTCTTTACAAGTCTGCTACAAAGAATCTTCATCTAAATTATAAATGTAATAACCCTCTATGGAAGTCACCTCTAAAATGGATTTTATGAGCTACCTAATCCAAGATGATTAGAAGAAGATAGCCAAAATCATTCTAAAATAAATAGCTATGTCTTTTACATCATTATTTACATTGTACCACATGACAGCAGACCGTTGGATAATTTTTTTTTAAAAAAAAAATTTTCCAGCCCACAATTTTTTGAAAACAATGGGGATGTCAAAATTATTGTTAAGAAATGAATGTAAATTTAGCATTATTGTGCCTTTTATGAGCGGTTTAAGAGATTCGGAAAATTAGAATGCGTTTGTTTACACTGAAAACATTTTGAGCATTTCTATTGAAAATTCTAAAATTGAAAACAAGCGTTTAAATAAAATTTTATGTAAATATAATTTTAAATTTTTTTTAAAAAAAATTAATGGATTTTCTCATCCTTTAATACTACAAGAGTGTTGCAAACACGGTAGGCAGACGCAAATATAGTACTTGTTTGAGCTAAATTAAAATTTTCATTCTCATTCTTCTACTCATTTTCAACCATATATTTTTCAATAAAATAATATTTTCCATCACATCAATAACTTTTCCTTCTTTTTCAA